GGGGGGGGGGGTGGGCCCGGGGATTTCCCAGGGGGGCAGGGGGGGGACCTTTTTTGGGGGGGCGGGTGGGGGGAAAAAAAAAAAAAAAAGAAAGGGGGGGGGGGGGGGGGGGGTTACTCGTCTTTGGCATGCGTTCGTTGTTAGACCATTGACCAAGCGTCCTCGAGAGGGCGAGGCGTAGGGGTGGGTGGGTGGGGGCGTACTCATGTTTGGCATGCGTTCGTTGTTAGACCATTGACCAAAAGCCCTCGAGAGGACGGACCGGGAGGGGGGGGGTTGCAAAGCAGCAACATATCGGGACATGCAAAGCAAACAGATATCGGTGCATTGTGTTCGCGGCAGGAACGACTATTAACTGGACAAGACGAAAACCGGGACACGTACAAGCGAGCTCGCGCGCGCACGTACGCCGTGCGGTGCCAGAAGAAGAGGCGCTTAGCGGGAGCGCGCCGCGCGATACGGTATGCCGAGACACGGTATCAATCACAAAGGGCGCCGCATGAACAACGAGTATATGGGTACCCCTTGGGGAAAACGCTGAGGATCAACAGCAAGAGAGGGGGGAGAGGCAAACCAAAAATGTGCCAGGCATGCAGCGCAAAAGATACCCCAAAAACACCAACCTCGGGGTTGCGTACATAAACGCGAATCTATGTTCCCCGCGCCGCAGCGCAACCACAGGCCCAACACCAAAACACCACGAGGCAAACACAATGGTATACTTGTGTTTTGTTGTTGTTATCGGTACTTTTCAGTTTGGGGAAGTATATACAGTCTCTCTTTGTATGTACACCATTTTCCTAATGCACCCAACCACCACCCACCTTGAGGTTGGCGGAGCCGAACGCGAAGCGATGCTTCCTGCGCCGCAGGGCCACCAGCCCGAACACGAACACGACCGAGAACACCACGGCGGCGGGAACGGCGCCCACGAGGAACATCACGCCGGCGGCGGCGCCGATGATGCCGACGAACACGGCGTACGAGGCGGCCAGGAAGCCGCGGCCGCAGCGGAAGAGGGAGTGGAGCATGCCGGCGGAGACGAGGGAGGCGATGCCGAGGAGGGCCACGCCCCCGACGATGACGTTGCTGAGGTGTGCTCCTCCGTGTCCTTCTTCGCCTTCGCCTGGGTGTTGTATCGGGTTTTGGGTTGCGGTGTGAACGAATACTCAAGTGCTTATTTTCTTCTCACGAACACGCAGCAGTATCCAGCAGGTTCTTGCCCCCCCACTCCATACAAAGGCTTCCAACACATCACCTTCGACTGCTGTGATTGTGTGCATACTTTCTTAAACACACGGCGAATTCATCATTTATCCACAGATAAGAGTCTACACGTCCGACGACATTGCCGAGGCATGCCTCTCCTCTTCCTCCATCCTCGCCTGGGTATGTATTTATCGGGTTCCTGGGAGTGGTGCGAACACATGCACACATGCGTTTTTTTTTCTCACGAACGCACAGCAGTATCCAGCAGGTTTTCTACCCCACTCGCAAAGACTTCAACAAATCCCTTGCACTGCGGTAATACCTTGAACAGGTACAAAATAGAAGGCGCCTGTGATTGTCTTCATACAGCAGTACGTTCTAAAAAAACATGACGGAAAGCATTTCTATCCACAGGTGAGAGTCCGGGATAAGCTACAACAATGAAATTCACAGCTTTCATTGGCGGACACGTCGTCGTACGTGGTGTATGGGCCGTGCATCGTGCTTGTCGTGTGTTCGCCGCGGAGCGATGGAGACCACAAGTATGGATTGTGCCGAGGGTACATAGTCTGCTGTTGCACCAATACTGGTAACTAAATAGTGGCCTTCTGGGTGTGTGCATTTCAACGTGAGATGGGCGAGGGGGGGGGGGGGGGGGGAGGGGGGAAAAGTCTAGCGCACTTCTTTGTGTTCCAAGCTTCCGCCCCCCCAAAATGTTCGGGAATGAAAAAATGGGAGGGGAAACCCCCTCGGGCCTTGTCCTCTTGGTAAAAAGT